CCTCATTAAACACCTAGTATGAATCCTACTCTTGTTTTATAATAATCAAAGCATTTTAACATCTCTCATAAATTATAGCCATTCTATATCACACTAACGTTTATATCAACATTTATTTAACAAAATTGATGATTAATGACTTAATATAAAAGCAATTTGAAATTTATTTAAATTAATTTAACAATTCTGGAACGCTTTTAAACTGATTGTTTGTTCCACTTGCAATTTACATAACATCGGTATAAACAATACCTACCTCATAAATATTTAACAGCCAGGTGGCCTAAAATAAAGTCTTTTATATGAAAATCCATAGGAATATTTCTGAGGTATCAAAACAGCATATTTTTTTTTTAGTACCTCATATATCACTTTAAGTTATTAGTTTTTTATTGTTTCTTAATGATTCAAATCAACATCCGTTCTGAAACCGATTGCGAGTTTAACATTACATAGTTCCATTTATAGTTATATCTTAGAAAGGGATTGTGATTTTTTTTTCATTGATTGCATTGATATTAGTTGCTTTTTCCATTAATACAAATAACTTTTTATTATAGATACAACGAAAACAAAAGTTTTTGAAAATAAACTCCGATACCAATAAAATGTATAAAAGAATATTCTTTACCTACTTTTCCAAGCTATTGTCCCTATTTACAAAGTTAAATAATTAAGATTTTTTGATGTTAAGCGATCCTTTGAACACAAAGAATCAAAAGTTCCGGTCTATTATCTGTTGGAAGCATTACGATCTCATTGTTTAGATTTGAATTACAAGTGTCGTCGAATTAATGAACCTAATTATCTTGGAAAAACTTTTCAATTTTTCTTTAAATAAGCCATGAGTCTATTAAATATAAACTTAAAATACAATAAAGTTACACAATAATTTAAAGATAAATAACATATGTAATGCAATTTTTTTTTTAAGAAATTATAGATATCTTTTCACATACTTTATTCGACAAATACTGTTTTAGTATCTTCTTGAATTTTATTGTGTTTGGTTCCTTCTTTATAATGAGAGGCATTTTATTATATATGTTTATTGCACTAGCATAGAGGCCAGAACTGTGAATCGTGAGGTTGAAATTTAGTAGTACTAAATCAGGTTTGCATAGGTTTAATCTGTGATATATATATCAACATCAGCCTTTATTGTCTCTACTGCTGGGTCATAGGCTCTCAGCGCACTTTAAAGTGTCTTCCAAAGCATGGCGGAGTTCAAGATAATCAATTTAAGGTAACTCATAACAGGCTCTCCGCGCGCTTTCACGTGTCTTCCGATGCATGGCAAAATAATCAATTTTAGGTAACTCATCTTATAACCGGAACTTGCACTAACCTCAAGCCCGAGTTGCATATCGAAGCGCTCGGTGAAAAATGTCTATTAAAAATTTTAAATGTCAACATACGATCAGCCCTGCGATTTTGTAAAAATTCAGACCCGATTTCCAATTCACACATGTGTACGAATTGACTTCAAAAAGCGGCATCCGATCAACCTTGAATTGATTCGCGGCATAAGTAAAGCGAATTTAGAAAAGGCGTAGGAAAATAATACAAAAAATGGAATCAATTGAATTTCTACACTTCAATGACATGAATTCAGACACATGAGTGAATTCGAAATTGGGGTCTGAATTTTTACAGAATCGCAGGGCAGATCTCAAACTAAACACATAGTTGAATAGTAAACAATCGTTACTATGGTAACATTTTAATTCCCTATAGAAACTTCGACCCCATTTTCATCCCTTTATATTCTGTTTTTCGGGATAAAATATAGGCTATGTTCACCACATATGATGTAGCTTCCCGTAGGTGAAAGAGTTTTTAAAATCGGCCCAGTACTTTTGGAGCCTACATTTTTACAATATCAATATAGAATTCTGTTTGTGCTGCTAGCAGATCGATTTATCGATCGTAAAACGATTTTGAGAAGTAAAACGATTCACATATACATATAAATGTTAGATTACTTTTATGTAGAGATTCAAGTTTACATACAAACTACATAATAATACTATATCGACACTAGCAATTGTAATTGTTAGTTACGCGATATTTGAAACCTTTCTTGAATCGATTCTAGCAAAACGTTTTTCAGTCTCTTATTTTCTCAGCCTAATTTATTTACGGTAAACTGTTTTCTATTTATAGTTACTTATTGAATATAAAATGTTTTCAAAATAATTGATTTATTGCTGTAGCATAAATTTTATTTTCCGACTAGACTGATTAATTACTTCCCGCCGACCACTCAACTTCGGTGACGTAGTAAATTTCTAGCTCTCATCATTATTTCACTTCACAATAGAGGCGATGAATGATACTGCAAATACGTAACGTCTAAACAGTATCGAATTTAATGCACAAGATACAAATATTAATCCATATACCATACAAATTATATAAAAACAGATAACATATATAAACTCCTTTTCGAATGACTACTAAGGCATTCAGCAAATGTTATATTGCCGTAGCATCAAAATGTGAAACATTCTCCCTCCCCACGTGTTCCCAACTTCATATAACCTTGCGAGAAGCTCAATATGGCGCAGTAGTTAGCGCGTTCGGTCTGCGATACGGTTATTAAGCAACTTTCGTAAAGGTTGGTCGTGAGATGGGTGACCAGAGAAATATTATCTCTAGCTCCTTTGTGCTTTGGAAGTTAGGCCGTTGGAACCAGCAGAATTGGTATTCGTTAATACCCACCAATCCATACTGGGCCCGCATGGCGCAGTAGTTAGCGCGTTTGGTCTGCAATACGGTTATTAAGCAAATTTCATAAAGGTTGGTGGTCGTGAGATGGGTGACCAGAGAATTATTATCTCCAGCTCCTTTGTGCTTTGGAAGGTACGTTAGGCCGTTGGAACCAGCAGAACTGGTATTCGTTAATACCCACCAATCCATACTGGGCCCGCATGGTGAGTTATGAGTCACCACGAGGGAGAATGGGCCATTATTTGATTTGATTCCCGATTCCATCCATATATCTATATATCCTGTATCCTAGAAGTGGTGACATTAATAGGACATTAATTATCTTATTCATAGTATAATAACCTTGGGACCTTCAAAAGAGGTGTGAAGAGGCTTATCACTAGGCTGGATAGAGATGGCAGCCGGGAGTAGCGGAACTACTCCAAGCTGCCATCATTATCTTGCCGGCGGAAAGAAGGAACTTCTGACGGTTATTAGTATTATTGGACTCTAATAACACTATCCTCCTTTTTTCTGTTCTGCAGTATCTGTTAAGTGTACTGCAGTCACTTTGTCGTCCCAGAATAAAAAAAAGAAAATAAATGTAGTAATTATAAGCAGCTGTGTAGAAGGTAACAAATTATATAAGTTCCTACTGACCTGTAACGCTCTATATATTATTATACGGGAAAGCGATAAATCGACGAGAAATTCTAGTGCAAGAGCACTAGAATGGGCATTAAGTCATCACTAAAACTGAACGTGCTACTTAAAACTCTCCTTGAAAACTACCGACCTCAAGACATGAAATTAGTAGAACTGCAAAGGTGAGCTTGAAAATCTTGGACTAGCCAAAACTAATCCACTCCCCGTGTCTGCCTGTCTAATCCATTAAAAGAAAGCGCAAAATATATTTTCATGCAATTTTCAGCAATGAACGGAATAAATCATATAGAAACATTTTAGTGTAAAATGGTTACAGTTTATTTAGTTTATCGTGCTTCGAGTTTACAAGACAAAAATAACAGAATTGCCTAGTTGAAGAAACTGGTTAGTTTTATTCCATTCTAGCTATTTTTCCGCGACTTCACCTGCATATATTATAACCTATATCACCCGCGTCTGTATTTTTATAATCGGTCTAGTAGTTTTGGACCCTATTCAATCCTAAGAAACAATAAAATATTTCCTCTTTTTGCCATCCAGTGACATCAAAGACCGAACGCCTTAACCACAGCGCCATCGAGCTCGTCAAATGAGTGACGTACATCTATTACCTTTAAACGAACTCTTGTTATAATATCCATACGCAGTAGCTAAAACCAAACAAAGCCACTGTCTGTACGCTACAAAACGGATTTAATGCTTTTCATCAATACACAAAGTGATTCAAGCAGAAAGTATATGTATTAAATATATTTTTAATACAAGATGTAACTAAAAATTTACGGTATTCGCGATTTTGCCTTTATCTATACAGTTTTCGTTTCAAGACGTTGCTTTGTACCAAATTTCAAGATTCTAAGTTCAAGGGAAGTACCATGTAGGCCTTACGACTGCGTTGCTTAGAAGTTTGTTTTATTTTGGACACAATTTTATAATCTGAATCTCGGAAACGGCTCCAACGATTTTCATGAAATTTAGTATGCAGAGTATTTCTGGGGCGCTAAGTTTATCTAGCTATACTAAATAATAAAAAATTGACAACAATTTCTATTGTGTGAAATATATCAAGAGAATGCGTCAAATATTATCATGAAAAAGAAATGTGGCTATTTGAAAACACGATAACGCCGGTACTAACGACAGTTGCCGGCAAAACATCCTCTGCGCATACAAATCAGCTTGGGCCAGTTCGAATAAAACTTGGCAAAATTAACTTTGATCGCGTTTTAAACCCTGTGTCTGCTTGGCAGTAGTATTAAAATGCAGTTTATATCTGTGCCATCTTACTTCAACTAGTGTTGAATGAGTTCCATGTAAACTTTAACTCATTTAGGCGTTCCCTCCCAGGAAAGAAACTAGTGTTTAATTTAACTCAGCCAGTTAGCGCCTTCTTCGACTTTTATCTTTCGAAAGTTAATTTAGAAACTTGATACAGAAGTTTTACTTTTTATTGTAACGAGAAGCTTTTTGTGTTTACTCTTTGTACTATTATTTATAAAAAGAAACTTTCTAGTAACGCAAATAAATGAATATTAATTGCCTATTACTATTAAGTTGTTTATTCCCTACAATTAATAGCTTTAAAGAATTTTGATTTCATTAATATTTAATTTCTCTTAACTTCAGTCGCTGGTGAAAATATCTAGTTTGGACGATTTCAAGTATTCATCTTGCTTCCCTAAGTACTCAGTGTGGCGAATACCAAATGATGGTGCAGGCATTGTCCTCTTCTCCACCATAAACTAAAAATAATTGATTTTTATAAACTTTTAATTTTAATGTATTTTTTCATTAGGCACATAATCATATTATTATTTTAGTATTAATTTATACCTTAAGACTTTACAAACCTTTTTCTCGCAGTATGTATTCGGAGCAGGGGACTTAGGTGGTTTGAGTGACTTAAACGGTGCTCCGAAAGAGAAAGCTGGCTTGGCGTGTTTCACATATTTGTAATTAGGATCATGTTCACCTGGGCCTGGAAATTCTTGCATCTTGAGATCTCTAGGCATATAGCCTAGAGTGTAAGCTGGATTCCGTCTACAGATAAGGTTTAATAAAAAAGCAATTAGATAATGTAATGAAACATGAAATTCAAACAAATTATACCATAATAATAATAATAATGCACGCACACATGCGCTATTGTCACAGAAATAATCGCTTTATTTCTGTGATAATAGCGCATGTGTGCGTGCATTCGTGTTATTATTAATTTCCTATATTTAAGATTTAATAAGATTTTCAATTTACTCATACGTTTTTAAGCGTAATAAATCCGAAACTACTTTTTTATATTTGAAGCGAGACATTTAATAAGTATTAAGTATGCTATTTATTTTATTATAAATTAATGGACCAATAGAGAGTTGATGGTGCTGTGCGAAAGAAAAATATTTTTGAAAACTGTCTTTTCTTCTGATATTTTCAACAATTTTTGGGTTGCAGCACATCGATCCAACTACGAATCTGATCTGGGGGTACTTACTTGCCTGGTATCGGAGGACAGTACATATTAGGTGGTGGAGTCCACTGATCCCAAGGTTGGTATGGAGGCCGAGCTGCTGGTCGCATTGTATAAGCGGGAGGTCTCTTGTAGCGTATTTGGATGGTGCGTGGTGCGTGTGCACCTGGCCCTGGTACCTTAGTCTTATCATAGGGAGGTTCGAGTTGAGGAGTCACAACGCCGTGAGTAACTCGATATTGTCCTGGAATCCAAATATACTTTATTACTCGTAAAAGAAATCCGGGAAGCTCGACCAATTGGAAGACATGGTCTACAATGTAACTCTATATCAAATTCGCGTTTTCAAGTTTTCTATCAAATTGTTGTTTGCTATGTTTATATAAAATTACATTTTTGAAAAAAATATGTTACAGCATATCAATTAACCCGAGACCACCAATTTGAAACTAATTTATTCGATGACCTGCGAATATCTTGGTTTGTCATCTGTTTTGAAAAAAATTTCTCTACATTCTCTTGAAGGAGTGAGAGTATAGGTTATTTATGGTATTTAACATTATACGATGATTTTTGGTATTCCACCAAAACTAATATTATGTTTTAACCATATATTTGATGTGCGAGTATTTTGCGATGTTTCTTGCCTGTTTTTTTTCCTCACTTCAGCAAAATCTAGAGAAGTGTAGAAAAATATTAATGATACCAATTTTCTTTCCCTTTCTATCTTCTATTTGTTGTACATGAAGATCTTCAATTCTTTATATTAAATACTAGCTGTTTTAGTATAGAAAGGTAAAATATAAAGAAGCAATTTTGGTTTCTTCTAAAAATTAAATAGGTTTTGATTACTTAATGTAGGTAGAATCAAAATAACCGAAAAGTTTTCCTGCAAGTCACATAAATTTGTTCTTAGAGGATTTTGCTCGCATAGCTATTAGCGAAATGAAACACTTGTTTCGAAAACGTCTTCGTCGCTCGCTGGAAATTCTTCATCAGCAAAACAAAACAAATACCTATAGTTGACTCTGCAAATAAAGCAGAATAAGAAAAGAGCTAAATGTTTAATACAATAATTATTAATTAATTAAAACTTTTACTCATATCATGGTTGTCATTATATTTAATACTTCTTATGCCTGTAGTGCACCGACGGATTTGCATAAGAAAGTGAAACTACGAAACGATTGCAAAGCGAAACTTCTTCATAACAGTTAGTTCATAACGCTGCAATTTATTCACAAAGAAATGTCATTGTAACTTACGTGGGTTGTAGATGTAGACTTATCATTGGTTTTTTTTTATATAGATGTTCTTAACGCATTCGAAACACCACTAGTATATCGTTAGCGTCTGTGTTACGACGTTTTACGTAGTTCCGTTAATAGCTCTGAGAAGGACGCAGTAATAGAGTGAGACAAAACATATGTGCATCACTGCTAAGCGACTGACAGTTTTTTGTATTATCGCTTTCACATGTGAATGCGTTGGTGTACTAAAAGTGTAAAAAACATGTGTCATCGATGCACTTTGGAGAATTCAAATTATGAAAATGAGTGGTTGCCTCTGATGATCTTCAGAAGAAGGCTATCGTAGTGTAACGTAGAATCGAATATGCGGAAACAGAAAATCAAAATTTAACTGTAGGTATATTATGATAGAATTGATAGATATGACAAAATCTTACGATTAGCTTTTACCCGCGACTTCGCCCGCGTTATTTAATTATAAAGAGTTTCGTGCCTTATTTCAATCCCTTTCTATGCATTAAATAGCCACCTATATCTATTTCCAAGAACTACTCTTTACCTGTACCTAATTTAATATTAAAATATACTTTTTAAATAAAAATACCATTCGGAACGATCTGAGAAGCTCTGAGGAATGCAGGGGTTAACAAGTTCGGTCTGTGATACGATTTTTTACAACAATGGCCAGTCAGATGGGTGACCAAATTTTTTTTTTCTTGAGCTCCTCCATGCTTCGGAAGGCACGTTAAGCCGTTGCTCCCGGCTGTTTTAATACCCACCGATCCGCAATCGACCCGCGTATTAGGTCTATTCACCTATTCACCCTATTCGTTTTGATTCGTTTCCATCCATTGGGAAGACCTGTGCCCCATCAGTGGGTATATTACGGGCTGGTGATAAAGGTGATGAAATAAATTTTTTAAAGAGGTCTTATAAAATAAACAGATGAAACATACTTGTTTAACGATGCATGATAATTTAAATAATAAATGGTTATTTTTATACAAAACTTCCCATGGGAACATATAAGACTCAGCCAGAGCGCAGCATGATCGGGTTTATCTAGTACTTAACATAATATTTATTGTTGACATTATGTAGAAAAGATATTCCCATTTTTACATGATATCCCTATTTTGTCGTGTGTCAAGCGAGACTATACCCAAAGGATCACATGTTCAGTCAGTATATTCCTCTTTTATACTTACAGGAAAAGTATATAATTAGTGCACGAAATAAACATTGTGTACATTAATTTCAATCACATTAATCTAATCTAATGAAAAGATAGTTATAGAAGAAAAAAGATGTCTATAGGTTGCTTATATATTGAAAAAGTAAGGCGGGAAATGAAAATATTATAATCTAGCCTCAACACAAGAAAAGTTTGGAAACCCTGTTATAATGTTCCATGCGGGTCATCAGCACGCTTACTGGCGTACATATAAATATTGTTTAAATATGATCGTAACTTATAATTTTAATACTCGAATTGTTCTTAGCACTAACCACTTCTTCCATAACCCTGTATATTGAACATGCGTGCGTTCGGCGTTGTGGCAGGCTTCTGAAAGCTCGAAGGTGTGACATGGCCGAAAGTGTACGCAGGCGCGCGTTTTATTTTGGAGAAACCTTTACCACCTTGAACAAATTACATTGGTTCTCTTTAAAATAATACATTTACAGATAGTTGCACAAACGGCCATTAAAATTACTGTTAGTTTTCAGTATCTGTTTCTGATCGTTGTAAGAGCTAATAAGATATACGGTCAGTTGCACAAACGTCCGTTAAGGTTTAATAACGCGTCACATTTGTATGGGTAATGTAGCTTTAGACTAATGACAATTTTAATGGACGTTTGTGCAACGTGCAATTAATGTTTTAATTTGTACATGTGATTAGTTTATTTCAGTTTAAATTCTTAAATTTCCATTTTTTCTACATTTAAACTTACTTTTTATTTTAATTAAAATTCAAACGCACACTATAGTTTGGATTTCTAAATTACTTGCTCGTACCACCATTTGGTAGTTGGTACGGTAGTCCTGATGATGCTCCATGTAGGGACGAAATACGTGTAGAGTGGTGGTAGCTAAAGCCTCTCCAAAGCCCTTCTACAGCTAAGTAAACCATTTTTGCGCTGGTAACAGGTATTATTACCAGTCATGGCAACTTCAACAGGCACCTTTTTAATTTAGGTGTCACTAACAGCCCCTTGTGCAGAGGACGCATGGCGGTACAACAAACATCCGTTCACATCCTGCTGGAGAGCAACGGAATGGCTAAGTACCTCGGCGAGCGTTTCTGGCAGAACTGGGATGGCTGAAATAACCATCAGCCACACACCCACCGTACGCAAAATAGGTGCAATTTTAACGTCGACTTGCGGAGACACCCATAGATAGAAGAAGAAATGGTAGTAGTAATATTTGTTGCTGCTTGTACATGTGCAGCGCAGTCTTGCATGTAAGATCACCCGCATAATAATGCCTGATTATATTAAATAACTTTGTAAGAAAAGTTATATAATGTTAGTGATGTTTTACAAATACAACTACATGTTATAGAACGAGTTGAATCATGAAGAGTTTATAACATTTAAGATTCTGTAACATATTATAACACATAGTTGTAGAGCGTTATCGGACTATGCAATGAATTATAACGTTAATACTTAAACGTACTTATAACGTGTCCCACCTTAACTAGTCAAAGTTCTTGCGGCAAATGAAGTTAATACCAGACATTCCTACGAATTTTCCGGGGATTCTAATCTGTTGAGTGCAGGTTCATCACGAAACAAATCAGAATTTGACTAACATTCGGGTCGAATCGTTTTGACTAATTTAGTTTCTAAATGGTCTTTATTAAAGTTGAAAGTCATAGGAACTGAAAAGCCTAATTTGCAGTTTCAATTAATTTTGATACCTATTGCGATAATCAAACAAACTTTTCAATCACTGATTTGCATTCAATTCTGAAACGCGTCACATACAGTTAGAATTCCAGTGGCTGACTAAAACTAACAGTGCCTTAATATTAAATAACGATGAGAATATCAAGCGTTCACCGTTAATATCAATTCTAATATTGATTTTATGAGCACAGTTGCGTGGACATTGCTTTAAATTGGATATTGGATAAATTCAAAGTTTTTGGTAAACGAAAATCGGGTCTAGTACCCAAACATATAGACTTTGGCGCAATCCCTTTTTCAAATAGCCCTGCTAGGGTTTGAAGGCTATTTAATTTCATTAGAACATACTATATTTCAAATATCCTGCCAGATTGAGTTCAAAAATATCTGTATGAAAAAGGTAAACTTACAAAAAATCTGTGGTGGCTCATAATGCTGCGGTCCAGGTGTAGATGCCTCACCAGATACTTTTCCTTTTCGCTCAGTGGGTTTCGCAGGTCGCTGCTTAATCAACTTAGCCCTGCATTCCCACCCCCAAGGCATACTTAAAAAATAGCGACAGTAAATAACAATATATAAAATGTACGTTAAAAATCGCTATAAGATATGAAAATTCACTGACAGGTGTCAAAAACAAAATGGTTTTAGCAAAGAGTAAATATATCGTATGGGTATCAAACCATAAACTGTGAAATTGGTATGTGGTCTATACTAATATTATAAAGAGGAAATGTTTGTTTGTTTGTTTGCATCGAATAGGCTCCGAAACTAATAGACCGACTTTAAAGTCTTTCACCTACGGGTAGCTACATCGTACGGGGTTGACATAGGCTTGAAGCACTACGTCCGTGTTTAACTAGATCTGGGCGGCCAGTCCATGTACTGTCACGTTATTTTTAGTTTATAATTCACCTTTTTTCTAATCTATTTTATTATGAAGTCTATTGTTTTTGGTTCTGTCTTTTAGCCGCCATGAAAGAATT